TCATCAATCTTGGAAAAAAAATACTTGTAAATTGGTCAATCATTAACTTTGATAGGCTAATTTGTAATCTACAAAATGTTCAAAATTGTATTCACAAAGTTGATGTTTTGTCAATTTTAGGGGCATTTTTTAAAAGTCGACGATATGATGTTGTATGGGGTATATATGCAAATAACCCAAACTTCTTTTATAAGGGAAAAGAATGTCTGATAACGTGTGGAGTAACAGGGCCCAAACGTTACAAACTATGGCTGTTAAAAGTATTCCAAGTCAAGCCCAGTACTTTGGGCCGAATTTAACCCGTCTGTATCTTGATAGGCTGATCTGTTCAATGACCAATACACCCCTCAAGATATCATCCTTCCCTTGAAAGCCTTTCCCCATTAAAACCCCCGCCAACAATTCCCCCCTTCCTTTTCCCTTCCCTTCCAAAACCCAATATAATCAATCAAATCCTCACCTCCGACGCCCTAAAAGATCCTCCAAGAACAAGAGGAGGAAAAAAAAATGGGTAAGAAGAGGACTTTGGTCGTCCTCTCGTCCTCAGACGAGGACGAAAAGGGTAGAAGAACTGGGTCGTCTTCAAGGCCGAGGTCGGCGGCATCGTCGAAGAGCTCCCGCAGAGGAGGGAGCTCCAGGAAGCTCAACGTCGGCCGATCTAGGGCTCGTTCTTGCAGTCAATTGGAAGAAGCGGTACTCCAACTCCTAAACTCTTGTTTGCTTTATTTTTCGCTTCATTGTAGATTGATAAACCCTAAAGGAAGAATTTTTATTCAATTCAGAAGTTGAAGTCATGTGGTATTAGCGTCTGAGCTGAACTTTTAGTTAGGAATGGTGTGTCGAACCGTAAGGGGAAAGGTTGAGATGGTTTAGTTTCGAGGACGGAGCTTAATGAAACATGGTATTTGAATAGACAGTTTATGGATGAATAGGGGGTACCCTATAAAGAGATTCGTATGCAATGCCATGTTGTACACAAGACGAAGATGAAGTGCAGGGGAGGAGGGGCGAGAAAATCAGGAGAAGTCGAACTCCTCCAGAGTCCTCCTGGCTCGTAGACCGACAATGCTGCTCATTTAAATAGACTTGAGTCTTGCATGCTATACTTGTTTGTCTACTGATTGTCCTTCATAAGTGTAATGTATATCCTTCCCAAATAGACTCTTTTGCTTGAGTTAGATAGCCAGTATACAGGTTGCAACATTTATTCTCAACGTGACTGGCATAGACCATTGCTTACTGTATGGGCAATTACTTCTAAGGACATAGCAACACTGAAACAGTAAGAAAAAAGAACAGTTAAAGTGCAAGAAAGAAATTCTCCTTTGATAATGGAAAAATGGCGTAACATTGTATCGATTTAGGCTAAATGTAAATTCTGTCATGATATAGTTTCTCTTGAAGTGATGCTTTATATTGTAGTTTTTTTTAATCAAGGATAATGGTTCATAGTTCGTTATCAACAATTAATATCATAGGGGTCAAGCAAGGCACTTTTTTTCTTTCATGCAAAATTTCTGAACATTGTGCATTTATTTCTCTTCTTGAAGGTTAAATTTGATAAACTTTCAGAAGACTTTGGGGAATGCCTACGCGATTTACACACAGTGTCAGGTGTGCTTTTATTCAAAAGTTCAAAATTTTATGTAAGACAATTGCAGAGTTTGATATTTGAGATATCATTGGTGTTTATGGGGACCGCTAAAAATTGAGTTCTAACAAAAACTTTACTTTATTTTATTTTATTAACTTCTTGTATTTCCTCTTGTTTCTATTTCCTATGGGCTGTAGAACAGTGCCTTTGTACTTTATAATCATGCATATAAACACTAGTCTTGCTGTCATTTATTTTCCATTTACCAGTTATTTTAATCTATACGCTGGGCAATATCGATTTGGTATGGTGTTCTAGAGTCTGGATTATGTGCAATCAAGCTAGTGAATACCAAGCTCAAGCTTCAACGTGCTGAACTTTGTTCTATGAAAGAGAAGATGAATTTAATCTCCTAGCATGACTTGACCTTGAACTGAGCATGACATTGCAAATTCAATATTCCTCATCAGTGTATACACTTGCTGAAACTAGTGTTAGCTATAATTTTCTTTATATATCCATGGCACAGTTATGCTTATCGAGATTTATCATTTATGTCATAAACTATACAATAATCTACTTATTAAGAACAGTCTGCTGTAACTAGATGTGTAAGGCTAAAAAGATGCAAAAATTTTGGAACTTTAACTATGCATGAGGCATCAATAATGGTTGATCGAGCCAAAATGATGTGAGAGCTAGACATTGAAAACTGGATTTGCTAGATACTCTCTCGCGACCAGCATGATATAGAGTTGATGGTTTAGGTCTTAATGGCTATAGCCTATGACCATGCGTTTCATCGATCTATTCATAACTTGTCTGTATACAGTCTATCTCGTGCTATATGCTCATGTTGTGTCTTACAGATAAAGACATGCTGGTATACAAGCCAATACATGGTTGTATGCAGCACTGAAATTTTACCTGGCAGGCTTCTCTCTGGGGCATAGATTGTGATATTACAGTGCATGAACTGAATTTAATCCTGGTGTGTATGAGTTTTTTCCCCTCTTCAGAAGGTTTTCTGTCTAGAATTTGCATTCTCATCTCCCTTCCCCTGCTTTTCTAATTTTGTGATCATTTTGCTTTGCTTTCTCATAATATCCTTCCAAATTCAGTTTCAACTTTATTAGTTTCTAAGTAAATTTATATCAAGTATGTGCTCATGATACATTTCTTTTGTGATTGCATCTTGATAGAACCTTGAAGAGCTGCTTTCTTATTGTTGATGTGGAGTTTACTTTGCTTCAACCAATTCATGCAATAAATTTTGTGACCGAGTATTGAAAGGAAATGCTTTAGCAGGTTTGAAATGTACAGATATGAAAGAGATTTGGGTTGAAAAATATAAGCCGCATTCTTTTGCAGAGCTTGCCGTCCACAAAAAGAAGGTTCTTTCTTTCCGAATCTTATGTTAAGAGAAAGCTTGTGATCTATTTATTTATTTGGAAGTGTAATTTAGAGATTTGGTGACCTATGTTGTAATTTATGTGTTTTTCTTTTCCTTTTGATCATGCGATATACTACAGGTTTCTTTTATTCAGTTATTCCATACAAAATTCTCCATTTTTGTTCCACAAGATAACTTGAGAGATGAAGGAAATGTACAGAAAATACCTAAGATATTAATTTAGTTTAGTTAGATGGCAACGAGATTGCAGATTTGGGTTTTGGCTTCATGGGCAGCGTGATCCCTTGTTGGATAGAAGATGTAGAAGGCAGTTCGGTACTCTACATAATCACTCTAGGCAGATGGAAGTTGTATGCCATAAGTGTAACCGTAGCAAATTTTAATTTCATAATATCTATCAATTAAAATGACATATCGTCATAACAGCCTAGAAGACAATGACATCACAAAAAGAATTGTTAGTTTAAGAAAAAAATTGAGTTGGATGTGGTGGCCAACTATGAACAGATAGACGCTAAGCAGAGAGCACATTGGATTACACACATGCATTGTATAAATTATTATCGGCCTACTAGTTACTACAGAATATGGGGATGCATGTCAACTATTGATCTCTTCTTATAGGCTATTGGTAATGCAGGGGGAAAAAAGTTTAACACTGAGTGGCATAGTACTGAAGCTTTATTCACTCAGACTGGTTGATCTTTCTATTTATCAATTAACAGAAATTGATTGTTTCTTTAAGGATTGGGACCAATTAAGGGCTCGAATTTTGAGATTGGTGTAAATAGCTTTCTGAGTCCATGATATTAAGGATTCTTTGCGTTACATAAGTTAGTTGTAGGATTGTATGTCTTTCCATTTAGTGACAACGGGCCTGTTCCTTTCAGTTAATATGTAGTTTCTCACTAACCAATCTTAGAAGCATTACCTAATTGTCTACTCATGAGAAGTTATCTGAAAGGGATTTGAGACAGGTTGTTGTTTGATTTATCATTTGTTAAAGTCATCGGTTTACAGAGAATCATTACCTGCTGATGGGGAAATAGGAAAAACTGTGAACAAGCTTCTGCTTTATAAAAGCTTACTTATAAGGGAAATATGAGATATTTTTCTTTACAACCTGATCTAGTAGATGTTTAGACTTGCATCTGTGAGATATTTGCAGGGTTTTACTTATTTTTATTATGAACTTGATGTTAGCCATGAGTTCCTCTTGAATTTATTTTTTATTATTGAAAATGACTATGACTTATTCAAATTGTAAAATTCATGTATGATTTCCCTAAAGTTTAAATTAAGAGTCAGCGATTAGTTTTCTTGAATCCTATGAATTACCCAATTTACCTGAGGATAATAACTCTACTAAAGGATTTTCAACTGGGGGTGAAATATGCCCATTGTTTTCTACATGCCCCACAAAGGTTTCAAATAGTTCTACTAAAGGTTACAGATTTTTATATTGGTTAAAATTTAATGATTACGGACTCTCATATGGGCACTAATTGCCGATAGAATGCAAATTATATGGCTTTTCCAAACTTATCATATATATATTTTTGAATATTTGGATTGCTTGCACACATTGAGCTCCTTGCTCATTAAAACCCATTTTTTTTGCCTGAGTTAATTTCTAGTAAAACCTTATTGCAAAAATTCCTTGCAAATTTTTTTTTGTTCATAAGAGTCTATTGACATGAATAATTGTTCTTACCTTTGAATTCTAGGTTGATGAAGTGAAAGGATGGCTAGAAGAAAAACTGATGACGTCAGAGGTGGTATAATCCTGTCCACTTAGTAAGATTTTGCTCTCTTTGTTGACTAGAAAACTAAATTTGCAAGATAGTTTTCTTTTTTATCGAAACTCTTTAAGTGGCAATACCCAGTGATCACAAATGATAGGCTGTTGCTCTAGGTAGAAGTAGAACATAGGCATTATTTTCTAGTACTGCCTAGTGCCTAAAAGGCTGAAAGTCAAATTTTACTGAGTGGGACTTCTTTATACCCAAAGGATGGAAGTGATCCATGACATGCTAAAGTAGCCAGTCTAGAGTTTGATCTGCTCTGTCCTCAGTCTGAGAATCCAAAGCGGTTTCCCTGGACAATTGTCCCGTGCAAGTAGACGATGAACTGCATTCCAAGGGATGTGCAGCTGCTCTAATTCTTGGATTTTCATATTCACAGATTGCAATGTGTAACTGTTAAAATTTATGTGTTATAGCATTATCTTTTATGTTTCACACCGTGTTGACTGTTTGTCAGATTGAGCCAGGTTAACAGTTGAATGAATTTCATTAGCAGGGGGATAGAGCACAGTAGAAACAATTTGTTAAGTGAAATATGGTGTAAAGGCATATAGAGTTTTGCCTTTATCCAAAGATATCTTTGTACTAGTTTTATAATTAAAGAATGAACATAAGAAGTTTATTATTGCATGCATCAACTTTGGGGGGACAAAAAAAATCCTCGTTTCATTCAACTTCTACAGCTTTCTCTGTTAGGAAGGATGTTTTTTTGTCGCCTATATGCCAATGCTGGTCTCTGCTATACTAGAATGCTTGCCACCAGTGTTCTGTACCTCTCCCTTCTTAAAACTTGAGTTATTTTATTTAAATCTTTTGATTGACTGAGTGGTAGTACCCTCCTTGCTTTTGATCGCATAATGCCCCTCATGATGCATTAAGTTTTTTTCCCCTCCTTATCCCTAACATTTGAATTAGGGATTATTGCCATGATTAACCCATGGTCAAAAGTTAGTCGATTGTTTATACTGAGTTTACCGAACAAATCCAAAAAAAAAAGAAGAAATATTTTGCTTGATTTCATAGCACATGTTTGCTTAATTGTGATTATCCTCTCTGAGATGATAATCCTGGTGGTTAATGATAGATGAGTTGTATGAAATGAGGTTTTTTTTTGTGATGCTCATTTATCTCAAATAATGCATCCGGTATCTGCATTGCTAATTATTATATTATATTTTACTTTATTTTTATTTATATCAATTTAGTCTAAATCCTGTTAGCCCATCAAAATTTGATATGGTCTAATGGTTGTCTATTCATTTTAAATGTTTATATCCTTTAATTTCTGCCACAGTTTATATGTAGAGTTAAATATTTTAATTTAAATATACAGGTTGGATTTGGTAATTCCGCTCTTCTTATCACTGGACAAGCTGGAGTTGGAAAATCTGTACGTCTTCTTTCTTAGGGGCTTAATCTCCCAGATTTCTTACAGTTTTGACCATATATTGGGAATTGTTTCTCCATTCTGATTTTATTCAACCTTCACAAATTGCATATATCATGTCAATATTCTATTCTGCTGTTGTTAATTGCACTATCATATTAGTTAGTAGATTAGGTGACGAGGAAGATGTATGGGCGATTGATAAGGAGTAAGAAGAGAGGTGGGTGTTGGTCAGGAAGGAAAGAGGACTGTTGGGTCTTGATTAGGGTACATAAATGTTTGGTGGCTGTTTTGGACTGGTTTGGCAGTTTTGGGCTGTTTTGGAGATGTCTGGACTACTGAATGTGGAGTTATGGGTTCTGGATGCAACAGGAGAGAGAAGAAAAGGAAAGACTAGAGTGAGATCCCTGATTGTTGGCCTTGTGTAGCTGTTCAGGTGCAGGTCATTCCTGTAGGAAAGCACTTGCAGATTTGAAACCCAAGTCCAGATCTATTTGCTCTTGGTACCAGTTGAGGGATATAGGCAGACGACTGATGAAGAGGCAGAAGAAGGGTGGGTGCTGGTTGGGGAGTAAAGAGGATTGCCAGATCTTGATCAGTGTTTTGTGGCTGTTGTGACCGTTATG